AAATTACTTTTCTTTTAATCTATTGTTTCCTACACTGAAAATAAATCATTGCAGCAGCTTGGGGCCCTGATCCCAGGCAGCTATATCATAACTTCATAACCTATGAAATCCTACAACACCTACACACTTCCTCTAACGCCTTACCGACCCTATGATAACTGTAACAGGTTACTGAACAGCGAAAGAGTGACTGAATAAATAAAGTCTTGTTTTCACTGCTAAAATAGAACTTACAGAGGAAGAAATAAGGGTTTTATTTACTAACGAGATCTGTACTAATACGAGCGGGTCAAGTAAGTAGAGTAATATACGTGTAGAAAGTCGTCAAACCCTAAGTAAGTGGATGATATGAGGTTTTAATACCCGCGGCACCCACGCCCGCGCGGCTAACATAATTCGGTGGACGGTCGACTCGTAATTAGTGTCGCGATGACCGTTATATATTCCATTCCTCTTTCACTAATTACTGGCTTTTCGTTGTTTGTTTTTGTCTTCAGTATGCGTCTATTCACCTTGTACATTTGTTATTGGTACCTTACGAAGCATTATTTTCTTTATAACATTTTCTATCTACTCTTACCTATTGCTGAAAGGGTGTCGCCTGAACTTGTTATGTAATATTTTGACAAATCTGGAGGTCAGAACTAACATAAAAGCCCTTGAAATAACTCTAAAAATAAAGGCAACCAAGATTGGTATTTCGCAAAATATTGTTCATCTCATAGAAACGAAATTTTATCAACCCAATTAATTCAATGTAAGATATTATAATTGCGGTAAATATATTATAACATTTCATTTTAACTATCCCAGTGACTATCGAAATTGTTAGTCTAAACTCTAAAATCAGAATACCTATAGCCCATATGCAGTCGGCAATTGTATGACGGAATCAATATTAATAAAGTAATGAGTCACCGTGATCTCGGCGGCGTCCATCAATTCTGTGGCAATTGACAATCAAGGCGAGCTGGTACGTCTGCACCGAATCTCGGCGTTCTATAGATATGATCTGTACCTGTATGATGTGTGATTTAAAAATTTATATTGGAATAACACTTTTGTAAATTGTTGAGAATAATGCATTTAATTTTACATTAGGTATAGGTGCATAGATTTTCCCTGTAACACTGCTGTTTATGGAAGTCTGTCAAAATATTGGTCCCACAATTGTAGGCTGCCTTGTCGCAATCGTCGAGCAAGGTCTCGAGTTCTCATTGAAAACGAAATCTTAATAATAGTATGTTGGAGTCCGGAATTATGTCTGGAATATGGCTACAAGCTCGCTTCTAGGCACACGGGAACCTATAATTGGCAAAAAATGGCTGTTGCATCTAATAATTGTGCCCTTCGTCTATAGGTACTTCCGGGGTTATCACGATTATACGACAAAAGTAAATAAAACTAAATCCAAAGCCACGCCATATCACAATACTTCCGAGACCTTGCTAAATCGTACTAAACACGTACAATGTTTACATAAAAATTATGATAAAACATACTAATGTCAGTACACAAACAAGCGCGGATCATTGAAACATGCTTCAACTCCGGAGAACGAGTGATAGTGGGCCTGGCCCGAAAGATTACTCATTTGGTTAATTAAGTATTTCTAATTACTTTATCTCAAGTTATACGTCCGTTTTGGAAAGTGTTTGATTTATCGTATCATCCACAATATATCTACTCCATCAACGACCATTATGCTCTGCCAATTACTACTTTAAGGCTTATGCTCCAATCACATATAATTCTATCAAATATGAACACAAATATGAGTGAACAAGGGGCTCTGAGTTTAAGCTAAGGATACATTAGAGGACAAATGTCCTGCGAGCCGTGTCGCCAGCGACGTCGGGTGATGTAGCGCGATGTTGCCAGACTTTGGTCGACATCTCGCAGGACATTTGTCTCCTAGCGGCTTTAACCGGACATGGTATACGAAATTGAGTCATAGCATGGAGTCTGGAACTGAATTGGGAGCTAATCAATTGATTCACCCTCTATTATTAATCAAAATGATACTCGAGACAAAAATGGATTTTCCGTTTGTTCGGGTTCTCCAATTTAGCATTCTGCGATTTTATCCTACCTATTTTTGAATACCAGATATTGTGATTTCACCTATAGATTATTATATTTACGATTTTCCTCTGTCACTGAATCCATTTTTATAATTTCCGTTTACATAATGACGAAATGACTGACGTCACAAAAAAGAGAGACGGGTAATGTAATCTTGGAATTGTTCAACTGTTTTATTCTGACGTAGTTGAGCGTCACATTTGTGTAATCGAGCTGTAACTATAAACAGTCTGATTGATACCTTATGATACTTTTCAAGTACCATTTAATTCTTTAATATGGAGACTACAGCTTACTAAGTGCCTTCGTACGACCACAATGAGAAACTCTTCCTTATTGGAAACTCGTTTACTTTTGGTTTCTCAAAACTCTGCAATACTCAATGACACCTAGACCTAGGATATACCAATATTCCTCATTGTTAACTAAAAATCGCGGGTTACTCACGTGAATATACTAAGAAAAGCTCTACTAGTTTCGAACCACAGAGGGGTTCTTCCTCATGAGTAGCGTGCGCGGTCGCGGCGATATCGCGCAGCCTACTGCGTGAGCGTGAGTAACCCGCGATTTTTAGTTAATTTAGTATGTCTCACGAGTTATTATAAAACATTCCTCATTATATTTAAAATCTAAATTATTTTACGCTCCCTCGTCCAAGAGAGAACAGTAAGCAGTATTGAACCTGATTTAGGAGCAACAGAGCTCCTGGGCGCATGTAGGTACAGTCAAACAAATTATTTGGCAGAGACAGAAGTTATTACTTATACTTTTTAATCAAATACGCGGTAGCCGATATTAACTGTATAGTTAATATCTCTTTATCTCTACTGAATAAATGTTTAATATTTGAACTCTATACCAAATAATTTGTTGGCTTTACCAATAAAGAAAATATAAAGTTGCAAACTTACCTAGCACCAAATATATCCTTTTTAGCCAATGAGTAAGCTCCTACAATCCTTAAACGAAGTAGGAAGCTGTTCTCATCAGTCTGAAAATAAAAAACAAATAGTTTTTATTCATATTTTTATACACAAACAACGAGATTTGTCGAGGTGTCGTAAGTACGACTGCCGAGCAAGAGGTTAAATTCTAGGTTGGGCAAAAGATTATTGAGATTTTTCTGTTCGATTATTCAATATCGTAATGTTAGTAACAGCAGAGAGATCGAAATAAATGACACACGCATGCATTCGTCAAATGACGATTGGCTGATTTGTCGTTGCCGCTTTGTGGACAGTTTCCATTGTTCCTAAGCAAGATGCAAGGCATTTGTCATTTGTACGACGCATCGTGTGCCTTAGCCTTTACAATATTTTCATAATACCTACTTTCATAAAAGGAATAAAGGAAAATTCAAGTTAAACTGTCAAACACCGCGAGGACACCGGTGACCGCAACCTATTGTTGTTTAATTGTCGCAGAGAACCTAACGGGTAACCGGGGCTCCGGCTCGACGTGCCAGAGAAGGAACGGGGTGGTTTTTAGTCAGTAAGAGTCTGACACTCCCTCCCGCCTCACCCAGGCGGGAGCAGTCATTCGAAGATTTTCCCCCCTTAAATAAAATGTTCTTTAATTGTGTCTATAATGACAGTACGCAACGAGTTAATTGGGCACAGCCAAGAGTATCTACCTACAAAACTATAACGAATAATAACAATATTTTAGGCACAACCAGACACTACAAGGCCCTACATTACCTAATTACATTATGTTAATAAAAATATAACACCTTGGGGATTTCAATTAAACACCAGACACAGTACAATACCATCAGGTCAACCTGTCAATATTTTTCGTTGCATTTTCAACTTTATATCAAATCAATAAAGTTAAAAATCTAATTTTAGAGATAGGTGTAAGTTGACCCGCTTTCTGTACAAATATTAGGCTAATTAAGGTACGCCTACGCATAGGGCGATTTAGTTAGTCACAAGACAAGTGTAGGATAGAAAAAAGAATGAAAGAAATATATAAAAAGGTCTTATAAGTACAAAGAAAAGAAAACCCTTTAATAAATGTTGACTATGGGAAAGAGGCTTGTTATGTATTTCCTGTAAACGATAGAAATAAACTACAAACTAAAGGTGGTGATGACTTATCCACTCAAACATCGAAGTCCAATAGCTGTCATCCAACACCAAAGACTTTTGGGTGACCAAAGTCAAACAGACCTTTGAGTAGTTATGTAAACTTTTAAGAGAACACTAAAACCAGACAGAGGCCTTAGTACGAGTTTGTTTTTCATTTCAAGTATTCGAAACGTGTACGCGTTCGGCACTCTTATTGGCCGGCTCCAATGAAGCAACCAATCAGAGCGCCGAACACGTACTCGTACTTTAAACGTGAAACAAACTTGTACTAACGCCTCAGAACGTAAAATAAAACCGCTTGAATGCACCGATATGTGACACATTAGAAAATACATTGTCTCGCGTGGATACACGTTTAGACACACGAAGGGTTAAAGTAATCGTAACGAGTACGCGTTCGGCGCTGTGATTGACTGGTTTATAGGAGCCAGCCCTCTGATCAAATCTAAACCCCATTAGCTTTTGTGACCATTGTGCCACCGGTATATTACAAAACCTTTCTCTATACCGAAAGGGGCATACTTACAATGTGGTTCATATTCATTTATAAAATAACATCATGAGTCTATACAAGTGCCACTATCAGAAAAAAAATCTAATTCAGTACCCGAAAATCCTTACTAATAGGTATTATAAATTGGAAAGTGAGTTTGTTTGTTTGTTTGTTTGGTTGTTTGTTCCGATTTCACGCCGTAACTACTGAACCAATTGCTTTGAATTTTTGCAGACGTAAAGTTAGAAGTCTGGATTAAATAATAGGGTACTTTTTATTCTGGCAAAATTTGATATTCCCGAGGGAAAACAAAAGTATTGGTATAAATGGCGCTGTAAGTATCGGTATATGTCACATAGGCTACTTTTTATCCTTTTGTAACGCGAGCGAAGCCGCGGGTAAAAGCTAGAAAATAACTTAGAAGCTAGAACTTAGTTATAATTCTAGAAAAATTATAACTAAGTTCCGCATAACAAGTGCTAATGCACCTAACTATGACAGTATTATCTCTATCTCATTTAACTCGTCGAGTACCGGTTTTGTAGACACAATTATAGAACAATAGGTTGCGGTCACCGGTGACCGCTTGGTGTTTGACAGTTTAATATTCATAATATATACATACAAACATAAACCAGAATTCAATGAGTCATCATACTAATTAGTATTGTAATGTATACTTTTATGAATTTAATTAATTCATCTTTATCCTGATGCACTATAAATAAATGTATAGGAAGCTAGTTTGTAGGTAGGATATTTCTGCTTATACTACTGGGAAAACTACTGTTAGTTTTTTTTCTTATGGGATAAACCGATAAACGAGCAGACTGATCACCTGATGGTAAGCAATCGGCGTCGCCCATGGACACTTGGAACACTACAGGCGTTACAAGTATGTTACTGGGGTTTTGGGGATTAGGAGTTTGAGGATTGTTGGATATTCAAGGATTGGGGGAGGGGGTAATTGGGCTTTCGGTAACCTCACTCACTCGACAAGACACAACGCAAGCGTTGCTTCACGTCGGTTTCCTATGAGGCCGTGGTATCACTCTGGTTCAGCCAGCCCATTCGTGACAAAGCATGGCTCTCCCAAACTTAAATTGTTTTTTATTTCTGTTTTTTTTTATATTATGTCTGGAATTGGTTAAAGTTGTGTAGTGGAGCTGGAGACCAATTTCTCTTTAACCATGCAGGCAAAAACAGCTAGAATATTTATTATTATTTTAAATCATGTAAGTACCTACTTTCTTATTTCAAAATTATTCGAAACTCTATTTCAAACATAGATAATATTATATTGGATTGGATTTGATTGTAACGGTAATATTTCTTCTTAAAAAAAAAGAAAATCATGCAATAGGACACTAGGAACATGTAATAGTTAGAATAAGGAAATTTTAACAAGAAAATATTGGTTTATTTATTATTAAGTACATTACACTCAATTACCCGTTTAACACTTTTTACCATTAACAATGAGGAAAACGAACTTAGTAATAAAAATTAACATTATTTACTAAGCAACAACTATGGTATTATCATGTCAAAGTTAGACTACAATGACACCCATGCTTTGTATGAAATAAAAACTGTTCGACACCATTCTATGCCTTATTCAATTCCAAGCAGTCATGCTAGCTAAGGAGGAGGCGGGACGCGTGAGGCAGCGAAGCGCTGCCTCCTCGCAACCCAGCCATCGCGAAGGACACACCGGGCGTCGGGGATCGCGGGACGATCTCCGGCCACCGTAAGCGCGGGCCTGCGGACGGCGAGCATGGGTGGCTCCCCGTCCGACCAGAAACAGACCCGAGCGTACGGCGCGTCGCGTTCCGCGCGCGCCTCAAAGAGCCATCAGACCACCACAGATGGGGCCCAATAGGGCCGATGCCGATTCGGAGTCGCGGAGAACCTAACGGGTAACCGGGGCTCCGGCTCGACGTGCAGGAGAAGGAACGGGGTGGTTTTTAGTCAGTAAGAGTCTGACACTCCCTCCCGCCTCACCCAGGCGGGGGCAGTCATTCGATGATTTTCCCCCCTTAAAAAAAAAAAAAAAAAA